TTTTTTTTTTTTTTTTTTTTTTGTTTGATTGTTTAGTGTTTTGTTTCTACTAGCGTTCTTGGTTCCTTGGAAAAAAAGATATTAGGAAAAGAATGAAAAGAAAGGAAATCGAGAGAAAAAAGGTAATAAAAGAAAAAAAAGGGTTAGCCAAATAAGAAAAATATACACATAGATACATACATAGAAAGGAAAGAAAAAAAAAAAACATGACAAAAGCCAATGTATGCAAAAGGTAACACGGAGGTATTTTCTTTCATTTGTGATATCAAACTTGCTTTTCCATCAACAGACCACTTGTACACACACATACACACAGACACATGGACTGAGGCACAAGCACAAGCAGAAGCGCACAAACACAAACACACACAGAAAGAGATAGGTTTATAGAACATTTCATCAGCAGCATTCATCTTTAATGGAAAAGAAAATGGCTGAAACAGCTACTGCCTTTTCTGTTTTTTTTTTTTGTTTTTTTTAAAGACATCCAGTAACTAAAAAAAGTAGAAATAGAAGAAAATGATAAGAATAATCCCCACCACAGCTGGTGGTCCATACAGTCGCAACAATCGCATTCTATTCATATGTACAGTCTTTTTATAAAAACGGGAGCTCTGATCTACTAATTGAGCACTAAATTGATTCATCGTTTCAAGTTTCTCACCCCGCGTCATTAAATCTTCAAGATTTTTGCGCATTACAAAATGAACATCTGTGAGTTCCTGTCGCAATGCATCGTAGTGTGGATTTACCTGACGGCGCTGTCCAGTCCCCTGCTGGGCTGCTCCTGTTCCACCAATTAAAACATTATCACCACGTTTATCCTGCTGTACTTGTAGAATGAGTTTCTGAAGTGTGGTATCAAACTTAATAAACTGAAATGGTCGTACGGTTTTGGCTACAATCTCCGTAACAGAATACATACGCATAAATTCTGCAAATACCAAATCAAGTAAACCACATGCTAAACGATTTGTAGCTGCAATATCACCTGAATTTCGTAAAAGTAATTTATTAACAGCTGTAATAATTGTCAAATCTGTAGCAGCATCTTGAAATGCAAAATAAATACAATCACGGTGATCAAAACTTTGATAATAGCAACCTTTAGCATCTTTTCGATCAGCTGTTGCTGCAGGACTTTCCATACGCTCTAGAATACGTTGTTCTTGCTGTCGAATCTGGTTACAGTTGGCGTAATTCTCGTCGGTGTAGCTACAGAGAGGGACATGATCGTGAGTGCGGGCAATGAGGACCGCAATGAAGCAACCCTTAGAGGCCATTTAACCAATTTTTTTTTTCTTTTGTTTATGATAAACGACAGCAGAAAAGAGTATGCAGAAAAAAATTCTTTT